AGCCTCTGGCGGAGAAGTTGGTCTTGGCGTCTTTTTGGTTGGTAGGATTGGGATTTCAAAGACGCTCTCTTGGCTGGCTGGTTGCTGGGTAGGAGTGGCTGGGTAGGGGTCCTCTCTGTCCATTTCCCTGTCGATCTGAGCCTCTGGGCCTAGGCTCTCTTGCCTCTGTTCTAGCACTTGGGCTTCGATAGTATCGCTTTCTGGTGGCATTCTGTTGCTGGGGTTCTCTTATTACTAAGCAGAGTGGTCTGTGTGTTTTTGTTTTGAGTGTGAGACGTGTCCTAACTGTCTGCTCTTATAGCTTATAGCTCCACAGCGCGCACGCTGCACGTCTTAAAACTTGCTGTAATTAGTTTCTTGTAAGGGATTTGTATATATTTTACAAAAATTACACCTATTCTAGAAAACTTGACGTTGGTGTTGTTAGAGCGAGCCATCTACTTGCGGCGGTGAGCCCTTCACTTTGCTCTTCGGGAGCCATCGTAGGGGAATGTCTGTTGTCATGCTCCGCCGGAACCGGTTGGTATGGTTGCGGAACGGATTGAGCAGACCTATATGACTGCGGAACAGGCTGCTGTAGGGATGGGTGCGGATATGGCTGTGGGTATGGATGTGGGGCAGGCTCCTGCGGATATGGCTGCGGGTAGGGTGCCTGTCCATGGGGCAACGCATGAGTTGTCTGAGCCGCCTGAGGCGTGACTTGGTGGGGATAGACTGGTTGCTGTGGAGTCTGTTGAAAGTTTGGATGAGCATTCACGTCGGTTGAAGTCCGCCATGGTCAACGCTAGAGAGAAAAGGAAGAAGAGGCAAAGGAGCCCGACAACAAGCTGGAGAAAACAACGAGTGTGGGTCACGTGCCAAGTCTGTGCGATCTTTCGCCTTCACTGGTGGTAATGTCTGTTCCCGGGTCGTTACATCGTTACACAAAATACTGAATCCGGTTTAGTGCGCGGTTGACATGTTATTTCTTCATACCTAAGCATTCTTGCTCCCCATCAGCTACTGCAGTTATGGCGAACCCTATTGATTCGACTGCTGGCCATCAACACTTTTATCAGACTATTTCCATTACTAGGCTACCTAACAGTAACCCCTAGAGGGCGTTGTCGCATTCGTTAGTCACTAACTATTACCTAAACTTGCTGCTAGTCACGTTTTTACAAGACATCCCTATGCTCTACCCCGTAGCCTATCTTCCCCTAGCAGGTACATTTTTCAACATCACTACGCTGCGTTTTTCTGCTATGCTAATCTATCTAGAACTCTTATTTGATTGATTGCTAACTTCATCTTCTTCTCCTGAATGCTTACATAATCCTGCGTCTTCAAGCGGCGACAACGCAATACATGTTCAATCATGGCGAAACTATATAGTGAAAAGGATTCAAACCACCTTTTTCAATTTTGTACGCTTGTTTGCATGACCTTCTCACCCGTTCAAACATATATAGCATTGCCGTTCAATATCACGTGAAGGCCGTGCCAACGGCATCGGAGTCGGAGCAAAATCACCCGACGTATAAGGCCCGCTACACAACACCAGTACGACCACACAGCCTGTAAAGATGGGTATTCAGCTTCCTCATATGTGCTAGTGCATACGCTACGAGCCGCTGCCACCTGAACCGTCCAATCCGATGACTCACACGGGAATAGCGATGCGGTAACTATTACAGACACTAAATACAAGAGCATTTCATACCAATGTCGATAGCAAAATGGCAGACTTCAACTTCCACATTACCACCCCCCGCCTCTACATCTCGTACTGCAACCCCGCCAACGATGACCACTGCGACTCGACCATTGAACTGCTGCACGGTGCGCCGTCGATGCGCTTCAATCCCGACGCCAAAAAGGAAATTCCAGATCGCGAGGCCGCGCGCAAAATGCTCGAAAATATGAGCAAGATGATGCAAGAAAAGGGCTATGGTCGCTACATGGTGTCACTGCGATCCGACGAACATGCAGAAATACCCTTTTCAGAGAGAAAACTCGAGACAATTGGCGTTGTGAGCATGCAGCTGGGCCGTGTTGAAGGTGTACAAGGACCTACAATTCCGGATGTGGGCTTCAGCATCATCGAGCGGTATCATGGCAAGGGCTATGCAAGTGAAGCGGTAGAGGGCTTGATGAAGTATTACTCTGAAAAAGGCGTGCGTGCATTTGCGGGCTTTACGAGTGACGAGAATGAGAGTGCAAAGAAACTGTTTCGCCGACTGGGGTACAAGAACCATGGCGTGAGGACGGTACGTGGAATCAGGTGGTCTGACGTCGACATAGAAGTCGACATCTGGACATGGGGTCTTGAAGAGGGGCAGAAGCTGGAGGATTTTGGTTTGTAGTATTGATATAATCTGGTTACCTCTCATCCTTTGTCAATACACTTTGACTGCATTTAGTTTCAATCCTATGACCACTCTCTTCTACTTCAATACCATCCAGCTCGAAACCAGTGATGACATGCGAAATGAGGGTTTGGTTGTCGGGGAAGAAGAGGTTACAAAGGTAGTACAGGAATATCGAGAGGAAGAACCCGTAGAGCCAGTTGAACGTAAAAAGATGTTGGAGGCCGGATGACAGCTTGAGACCAGGATTGACCTTGTTAGCGAGGCCCGGCAGTAAAGGCACAATCGTCACGAATGTGGCGACAGCAGCGCGCCAGTTGGTACCGTAGCGGCCGTATCGATAGATGCCGCGCGGGTCGTACAAGGCGGGAACGTCGTACTTTCTGCGCTTGATGAGCCAGTAGTCGGCAAAGAGGATGCCTGCCATGGGCGCCATGAAGATGGCGTATGCGCTCATAAAGTTGAGAAAAGCCTTGCCGGAAGCGACAATGATCCATGGACATAGGGCCCAGCCACCGATAAAGGCGACCAGGACGGATCCTCTTCGCACGTTAAAGTATCGCGGCGCCAGGGTCGTAACGTCGTTGGCAAAAGACACGGCGTTGGCGCTAATGTTGACATTCAATTGTCCGAGCAGCCAGATGGCGGCGCAGAAAAAGGCTGCAGCGCGGCCACCCGGGGTATCCATCCACTTGTCGATGATTTGTAGAGGCGTCCAGTACGCCGTGCCCCAAATCTCCTGCGCGGCAGACGCCGAAACGATGCCCATGAGAGCAACCATGGTCTTGAAGAACGGAATGACGGGCATCTGCCAGTATTGCGCGCGGGGTTCTTTGCTGAAGCGCGAAAAATCCGGAATGTTGACAGCAAGCGTGCTGTAGCCGCCGGTGATGCTCGTCATGCTCGAGAGCCATAGCCAGGCTCGCTCAGATCCGTGTACAGAAGCAGAACGCGTAAAAAAGGTGCCGTTGCCACCCGCTTTGACAGCGACCCAGACAGTCATGCCAATGGCTACAGGCGGCAGCAGTACCGTTTTTATCCAAAACATGTATTGCAGTTTGTGGGTGGGGATGAGGAGAAACGGAAACTGAATTAGCCAGTAGAGAAAATACGACATCATCCCGGCCGTGGTGTGACCAACAGATTCAGGGAGGTGGTTGGGCAGTGTCCGGAAGCTGGGCCATATAGCGTTGAGAATCTGAGTGACACAGGTTCCTCCATTTGCTGTTTGTACACCAAACCAAAACATGGCCAGGACGCCTCGACTAATAACAGCAAAGTAGCTGAACCAGTATCCAAAGCTCGCGCGGGCTGCAATCGGAAATGGAATGTGCAGGTTGGAGCCGATTGCGCCATTGAGAACTGTTGGGAGAGCGTTGCACAAGCCGGCAACAAGAGTGATGAGGACTGCATCGGTTGCGGTTAAGCCTGCAATTGTTAGCTCACATCTCCCTCTCCGAGCACACATACCTATAGTGAATATGGCGGATCCAGAACTCCAGGTTGAGATTGTTACCAAGTCACTGAACCAGTACGTGATAAAGGCGCTTTTTCCCCATGTACGCTTCTCCGGGGGGACCGGCTCCATATCGGCATTTGTCCAGACATCGGGTGGAGCAATGGTACTGTTTTGCTTGGAAAGTTGCCAGCTCGAGGCCTGCGTGAGACGTAGCTTTGCCTTTTCCTTTGCAGCATGGCTGCGGTTGCGAAGTGTGGTGAGCATGGCCATGTCGTCCAAGTAACCAGGCGTGGCCTCAACCTATATCGCCTTGACATGGACTGACGGGTTGCATCTTGAGTCAGGGGCTGATAGCTTATCAATTCATCGCGCTGATTGAATTCGATACGCATTATTTGTGGCTGGTAATAGATAACCGTTGCATGGGTGGTGCGGGGTGTCGGAGTGTTGATCTGCGCCAACGGGAAAGAACGTCGGAAGCTCGGCCGATTTGGCGCTAAGTAGCGTCCTGCCTTATCGCAACTCCCACTTCCATCCCACCTTCGTCGATGCAGACTCCAACTATGCCGCCATACGCCTCTTCTTCCCATCATGTCGGCTCCATCACGGAGCAGATTGACCTGCGCAGCCTGCACGAGACGCAAGGTCAAATGCAGCAAGACCGTACCCTGCACCAACTGCATCAGACGCGGGCAGCAAGACACTTGCGGGATTGAGAATGAAATAACATCTGCGTTGCATTCACAATGCCGCCAAGAGGTTGACTGTCCAGGAATACACCAAGAATCGATCGAAGAAACTCCCGCCCGCGATGCTGCGACAGTGTTGGAATTCTTGGCCTGGGGAAGGAGAAAAGATCCAGACTGTCATACGGATGCGTCGCTCGAGACTGAAGAGACGGGAATGGGTTCGCTCGACAATTTATCGCTCGCAGTACTCCAACTCCTTCTCCCTAGCCAGCACCAGGTTCAACAGCTAGTCGAGTACCACATTGAAGGCTTGCTATGGTATCATTGCAGCTTCTTCGCGTCGACGTTTCAGACGCAGCTTCGCACATTCTACGACGAGCAAGACGGAGTCATTCGCCAATCATCCACCAGCTTACAATGGACCGCTCTTCTCTTCTCTATACTCACTGCGAGCATGACATGTGCGCCAGCTGCACGCGTAAGACTGTGGGGTTTTGGAGAGACAGAACAAGCCACCCTTTCGCAAAAGTGGTTTCAAGCCATTAGTGCCTGTCTCACTCACGCAAACTATACGAGCAACTTGAGCATTCTTTCTTGTCAAGCAATTGCCACTGCCACCACCTCTGCTCATCTCCTGGGTTTTAGCACAACACAGAGCATACATCTTGCAACTGCAGTACGCATTGCTCAATCGCTAGGCCTGCATCGCCTCAGCCCGGATGTCAATGATAATTCTACCGAGACTGGCAGGCGTGTGTGGTGTCAGCTGTGTACCCAGGACTGGTTCAGCATTCCTTTTTCAGACACCTACCTTGTCAGCCCCAAGTATTCTACACTGCCAGATTACAACATTGTCGAATCCGATCAACCTACAACAACGAGTTACTCTCGCTTTTTGTACAATGTCGCCATCATTATGCCCCAATTGCAAGATAACTTGGTGTCGTGCAACACACCTTATACGCGGTATGAAAAGGTTCTCTACTGGGACAATATTCTTAGAGGTCTGGCAACGCGCTCGAGGCCACCTTTCATGACAAACGGACCGCTGGATCCTACGTGGCCGCTATGGGTACCATGGGCGCGGCATGCCCTGGCCATTAACTCGAGCCCTAAAATCATCATGATTCATCGGTCCTTTCTCCTGGACAGCTTTGAGAATCCTGCCTTTGCTTTTACGCGTCGAACTTGTCTAGCGGCCTCTAAAACGATAATCAAAGAATACAAGTCTCTAATTGCAGAAGATGGCCCTACTTTATGGATACACCAGGCATTCGCGGTCGCTGCATCAATTACTCTTTGTCTGGATATTCTCTATCGTGACGCTAGCGACGAACAAAGTTCTGACCACCAAGCGCTGGTAAAGGACATTTTGCAAATCATGCAGTCACGGCGAGACAGTATGATTGCAATTCGAGGAACGAAACTGTTGGGCGCTCTTCTGGCGCACGCATCACAACGTCAAAAGAAACGCAAGAGGGACGGAACGTTCGTGAGGCTTGATATATCAACCTTGATCAAACAATATTACCAAATGGACGCAGACAACCCCGGCGATTTGGACAACGCAACCCAGGCCTGCGACAATCCCCCATCAAACGATCTGCCGGACTTTTCGTATCCCCTTTCCTTCCCGTTAGGGGCGAATGGTTTTGACAATCTTCTTTATCTAGCAAATTACGATTTGGAGGTTTCTATCTAATGCTGTTTTCTCTATCACATTGTAATCATTCTCAGTGTTATGTAAATACTCAATTGACAGACTGCAGTAGACCATCAATCGCTGTTGTGACACCCGGCAGATCCTGAAGAATTGGCTGATGCCCGCTCTTTACAACATCGACCCAACTCTTTCCACCTATTAACGCGCTCAGGTCTACTGATTTCTGTACTGGACTAATGATATCCTTGTCTCCAGCTACAAATAATACTGGACATTGGATCTTCGCATATGCTGGGTCTTTGTGCTCAAGATCCACAATAGCTTCGCAAGTCTGCGCATACGCTTCTGGATCCGAAGCGCTGACCTCGCTCCTAACTGTTTCTCGTACTGCTGGATCAACAGCCCGCTCCGGTCTTGAACATCAGTGCACGCTCTATACTGACGATGGCTATACTTACGTATCCTCGTAAAAGTTGGAGACGGCCGCCGCCTCGGCTGCAACGCATATTCCCTTCTTTCTCACCGCATCGGCAAGGTCGAGCATGCGCTTTCGAGCTGCGGGTATGTGACCAGCTGCTCTACCGGTACCGAGCAGGGCTAGTCCTTTAATCTGGTCTGGATATCTTGCAGCATATTGGAGGGCGACGATGGCCCCAAGAGAATGCCCGATGAATACGATCCCTGATGTTTGTGGTCCTTGTAAAGATGCGATGAGATCGCTCAGATCGGCGACATGGCCTGCGATGGATATTTGCTGACCATCCGATAGTGGCGTCTTTCCAAACCCTTGGAAATCAACCAGAATGATGTTATAGTCCTGAGGGAAGAAAGGCACAAGAGGCAAGAATGTTTCGGTCGATCCTCCTAGCCCGTGGAGGCATACCAGGAGCGGGCTCAAAGGCTCGCCGCCTTGAAGGTAATGGAACTTGGTTCCTGAACGTGTGGTGAAATAATGCGAGGTGGGTGTTTGTAGCATTGTGGGAATTGAGGATGTTGAATCATTAAACTAGGGTACAGATAAATGCTGAAAATCTATAGAGATTCAGTGCTTCAGCTTGAGTAATTCCGATGGAAAATGAACTCGGCCGAGCTCCACATTTGTTCGATAACAGCTCGGGTCAACACCGAATGCGCTAGGTGGGTCATCTAAGATCTGATAGTAGCAGGCTTACATATCATGACATTCCATCCATAGAGTAGACACGACAGGTCGCAACTGGAAACGACAACATTGCTCTTATCATACTTACTCACAATGGTTGTTACAGCAGTCATAACGGAAGATACCAAATATCTGCATCTCAAGGCAGAAAAGCCCAATCTGAAGCTTCCACATGCAGACGCCACGACTGGACGCGTTGTACCGATTCAACATGCTCCAGGTAGCAACGTGGATTTCGGCGCCGAGATTTATGGAATCGACTTGAACAACTTCACAGATGCGGATTTCGAACTCATTTCGGATGCATTGCATAAATGGAAACTGCTGGTCTTCAAAGAGCAACCCGACATGTTGAAGCCCCAGCAGCAGTATCTACTCACGGCAAAGTAAGATCGGATTATTCGTATTGAATTATCTAACAAACCCAGCTTCGACCCTAATGAAACCACGGGTGGCTTTGCTCACGGCCACGACCCTTTTCTCACGCATCACAATGGTACCGACTTTTACGGCATCCCTAAACGACCGGCAATTCCAGTACAGCCGCAAGTTCATATTCTCGGTCGTGGTCCGGTTCCTGACGGTCACTTTGGCTTTCCACCCGGTTTTGAAGTCCAGGGTATTAATCATGAGGAATTTCACCTGCCTCCGCATATCCCCACTGAAGAGCGTGAAGCGGGTGCGTCGCGCTTTTATCAGTGGCATTTCGATGGGTCTTTGTACGACATTCCCCCGCCACGAGTAGGCTGTCTTCTTGCTGTGCGCACACCCAAGGGCCCAGACGTGACTGTACGATGGGAGGATGAGTGTGGCACGGAGATGAAAATGGCACCTGGTTCGACAGCAATGGTAGCCGGTAGTCGTGCACTAGCACTTCTCGACGAGGATACAAAGAGCATTGTGATGAACAGCAAGATCGAATACGCGCCTCATGCGTTCGTCTGGATGTCCAAAGCACACAGCACGCGGCTCGGCCACTCGCTCGAAACAGAGGGCCTCGAAATGCCGCTCGCCGACCTCCCAAAGTGGGATCAAGACAAAATCTGCATCTATCCCATGGTATGGACGAACCCGAAGACAGGCGAAAAATCACTCCAAGTACACGGTCAAGGGGCTTTCAAGCTGCATCTCAAAAGCAGTCCGGACGGACCCGAAACGATTGTAGATGATCTCGAGCAAGTCCGCTCGTTTATGGATAGGTATGAGATGTGCTGTGTTTACAGGCAATGCTAATAGATACAAGGATCATGCGACCGGTGCTGCAGCCCGAGAATATCTACGCTCACCCGCACAAGGAACAGGATGTCATTTTATGGTACAACCGGGCGCTTTGGCATAGCATTGTGAGTAGTCTGGAAATTTGGGCGATACAGGTAGCTGACTGCACGTGTAGACTGAGTTTCCAAAGTCGTATGGACCGCGTATTATGCATCAGTGCAATATTGCAGCGAGCGACCATCCTTCGGGATGAGAGTCGTCGGATCTTAGTAGTATGTAGACTGTGAGCGCAAGTAGTATTGGGTATTCCTAGAAATTCAATTTACTATATACATGACATGTGTTTGAATCGCCTTGAAAAGTGATATACTGGAGCACTCGGCTGTACCTGAATTGGATTCATGAATTGAAGTGACTGCATATCGAACCTTCCAAGCATCTTTCTCAACACTGTCCGCTATCATGATCTACATGCAAACGCTGAATAGCCTGGAGATGTCAAGGAAAGATATCGGGCGAGGTGAGCGACAGGTGGGACGGACGGGGCTCGGCCGAGCTCTCCAGACGCCGATAAGATAACGCGATGGATGCATCACTCTAGCCACTGTGTACTCGGGAAATCCGCAGGTAACACACATATCCAACGTATTACCGGCATGAATGATCCGACGATAAGGTATTAACCATAATATCCATGAAGTTTACTTCGGCTGGACCTGTAAATAGCATTGATATCAAGATAAAACAGCAGTCAAGTCGATATTAAACAGCACGTCGACATTCCAACTCATTGTACATGAATATATGACGTCTGGGTTTCAATTTAGCCCGCTAGAACTCTCCCTCTATTTGTTGAAAACGCCTCGGAAAAGAGGATTGAAGCGTAAAGTCGTTGGTCAAAAGGATATAATCATTCGAGCACACAAAATGTCGCCTGGTGTGTTGAGCGCGGAGCCAGGCTTTACAGTCACGCCGATGAGCAAGACCGAAAAGGAAAAGCCCAATTTCGGGGCTGTGATTGAGGATCTGGATCTGGAGAGTATTAGTGGCAAGTTTAATGTAATGGTCGTTTATAATGACCAGCGTCTGACTAGCTTAGATGCGGACGAGAAGGCGCTCGCCGAAACCATCTGGACGCATAAACTTGTTGTTGTCAAGGGCCAGAAGAATCTATCGCCTATCAAGCAGTGGGAGCTTGTGACTCGGTTTGATCCCGAGGCTCCACAAGTTCACTCGCATGGCGACGTCAAGACGTTTCATAAGCAGGGCGGGCTTTTGACGGTAAGTAATCCGGGCAAAGTCTTGACACCATCTCATTAATGGATAGAAAGGAAGAGATGTGATAGGCATCCCCGGCGCGGAAAACGTTCGTCTGATTGGAAAGGGACATCAAGGTGAGGATCACTATGGCCTCAAAGACGTTACGGTTCAAAAAGGGGTTTTACACGCCTGGCATGATCAGCCACCCACGGACGAAGAGTACCAGGCTGGACATACTCGGTTCCAACGCTGGCATATTGATGCGCCACTGTACGCCCGTGATCCGGCCTGGTTCACAACGCTGCGTTGCATCCGGCGGCCCACTGCGCCAACACTTACCATACACTGGGACGACGGCAGCGGGCAGACCATGGAGACAGAGCCTGGTCTCACCGCCTTCATGAGCAGTGTACAGACATATGATATGATGACGGACGAGGAGAAGAAAATTGCCGACCACTCGTGGGTGGAATATGCACCTCACCCGTACCAATGGATGGGCGACTGTAAAGGACAGCCCAACGGGCTCGGCGTGGTGAGCCAGTGCCAAGAAAAGCGGCTCGAGGATCTGGGCGATTACGACCAAAAAGACATCAAGCGGTACCCCATGACGTGGGTCAATCCTGTGACAGGCGAACGAGCCTTTATGGTCCACGGCATCTGCGTGCGACGCGCCTTTTTCCGCTCAAGCGCACACGAGGAGCCGCGTGTCGTCGACGACGTAGCTGCGATTCGCGCGTGGCTCAAGCCCATCCAGGAACGTGTGTTGAAGCCCGAGTTCATCCTATTGCCAAGGGTCGACGAGGGCGACGTCATCATGTGGGCGAATTACCAGCTTTTCCATACGGCGGTGGATTATCCGGATCACTGGGGCGTCAGGACCATGCATCAGGCTAATATTGGGGCGAGTGCGGGGCCCGTTGGACCGGTGCCGATTCCTGTTGCGTGAGGCTGGATGGCATGGAAGTCTGATTTCTCTTTAGCTTGCTTTGTAAGTAGCGGATGAATTATTGCTATGCAATGTATTGTTGATCAGTGCTGAGTCGAGTATCGGCGGATGGTGCAGTAGAATGCCAAGAGCGGGACGGCCCGCGTGGTAGCCAAGCACAAGTGCGAGTGTTAGTCGTCGCGCTCCACTTCAACTTCACCATGCCGCGCGCGACACGAGAAGAATCCAATCACAAACGCCATCGCTCGCACCGCTCTCGGTCGCCCCGACGCGAAGACGACAGCCACCGACATAAACGGCGGTCGCGCTCACCTGCAAAGCCCGTCGAGCTACCGTACAATGCAAAGCCGCTGTCCAGGCGCCAGTATGACGAGTACCGACCAATGTTCCAGTCGTATCTGGATATACAAAAGCAGATACAGCTAGATGATTTGGACGAGCGCGAGGCAAAGGGGCGGTGGAAGAGCTTTGTCAGTCGATGGTATGCTCTTCTTGTCCCAAAGTGGACAAACGCTAACTAGGCAGGAATCACGGCGAACTTGCACGAAGCTGGTACGACCCATCCATGCTCAAATCGGCACAGGAAACGGTGCAGTCGTACCGCAGAGAGTCGCCCAGTTACGCCCCGCGAGACGGAGACGAGAGCGAGGAAGAGTTTGGCCCGGCGCCGCCCAATCTAGCACGACACTCGGGTCACGGGCCGACGATACCCAAACTCGACGACCTGGCCTATCGCAACGAGCTGCAGGAGGAAGATCGAGCTCGGGGACAATCGGATTACATGGACGGCCTCCGCTATTCGCGCAAAGTCGACCGCAAGGTACAAAACGAACGGCTGGAAGAGCTGGTTCCGCGCGCCGACCCCGGCAGCCGTGAGCGCCAGCTGGAAAAGAAGCGCGAGACAACATCTACACTACAGTCGTTCCGCGACGCCAAAGAGTCTGGAGACGTCGACGTGCCGGAATCAGACCTCATGGGCGACGACGGTATTGACAATTACAAGAAGAAGAAGCGGGAGCAGGAGCGGCAGAAGAATGAGAGGGAGATACGGCGCGAGGAGATTGCGCGGGCGAGGGAGGCGGAGAGACATGAACGATTGGCGGAAAGAAGAGAAAAGGAAAGCAAGACGATGGAGTTTTTGAAGCAGATTGCCAAGGAGAGGTTTGGATAGTTGGGAGGATAAATAACGCCAATGAAAGCTCCAATTCCATGCATGTGAAATCAAACTCGCCATAGATATCGCGCGTCACTCGTCGTCTAGTATGGAGCTGGCCAGCGGGCCGAAAACAGGAACCTCGCATCGATCGAGCGTCGCAGCTATACACGTCAGCTGCAGCCTCACAGCCTGGTGTTGTCAGCACCCACCGTCAAGATAGGCCCTCCACGTCAACCAGGCAATCAGGGCCAGGTCGCCCGCCAGCATGAGCCACGAGAGGAAGCTGGACCAGCTAAAGATGACGTGCAGGACAAAGACAAAGGCAAACAGCAGACTGCTCTGCCACGCATGGAAGCGCACATAGTCGCTCTGGTGCTCGAACATGAGCAGCAAGACGCCGCCGGCGGGGGGCAGCAGCAGGTAGGCCAGACAGGCTTCGTAGTCGAGGCGCCAGCCCAGCGACGTGGTAAACATGTCAATGTCCTCGCGGGAGCGGCCAAAGCCCGTGGAGCGCGAGGGCTGGTCCCATGCTATGCGCGCGGAGTCGGGCTCGGCGGGGGGAGAGGGCGGGGGCTGGGCCTGGAAGTAGTCGTGGTCGTAGGCGTGGGCACGTGTGGGGGGCGAGGCAATGGCACGGGAGTGGGAGCGGTCGATGGACGCTCTAGGCGAGCGCAGGGGCGGCGACAGTGCGCGCGACGACTCGGGGATGTCTTGGTAGGGGGCAAAGTTGGCGGCCATGGTGAAGATTGGTTTCCGCGCTGTCCATGGCGGTGGCGAGGGAGGGCGAGGGAGGGCGAGGGCGAGGGCGACGACGACGACGACGACGACGACGAACACCAAGGCTAACGTGGGCAGGGATGCGGGCGGCGGGCGGCGGGCTAGCGGCGCTGCACGTGAATGAGCGCTTTGGGAGTCTTCCGTGGCGTTACTCCGCTGCACGAACATCCTCCTTCACGGCCATGGTCATGCCGTGCAGCGTGACCACACAACGACAGTCAGCCCGCCATGCATCATCCCACCTCACTCCACAGCCTGCTGGCACCACGTACATCTACACCTACACGTACCTATATCAGCGACCTCAGTCGAGCTGGCACGCCCTACACCGCCTGCCTGCCCGGGCTAAAGCTGCTGCTGCACCCGTCTCTTTCCGACCATAACACGCGCTGATCCTCTTCCCCCCACTGCCCACCATGTGCATCGCCATTGTGACGACGGCGCACCCCGATTACCCATTTGTACTGCTCAACAACAGAGATGCACGTCTGCCTGCCAATTCCAGTCTGCCCACCACTAACACCCGCCAGGAATATCTCCATCGCCCAACCGCAGAAGCGGACTGGTGGCCCGAGCCAGACTCACAGGTCCTAGGTGGCTACGACCTCCATCGCCCTGTCCATGGCACCTGGCTGGGCGTCACTCGCCAAGGCCGCGTTGCCGTGCTGACTAACTACCGCGAGGAGGACGAGACCATTATCCAGGGCGCTCGCAGCAGAGGCCTGATTCCCAATGCCTGGCTCAAGACGGATCCCGAAAAGCACGAGAGCACCGACGAGTTTGCAAGGCGGATGATTGAGCAGGATGGCGTCGAAGGCGTAGGAGGCTTCTCGCTATTGTACGGCCTCATGCAGGACGTGGTCAAGGAAGACGGAAAAGGCCTGGCCATTGTGAGCAACCGCACGCCAGACGTCGACGGCGTGATCCACCTCCTCCAGAACCCCGGTGAAACCCGTGCCCTCAGCAACGCCGCATACAACGACCGCTCCTGGCCAAAAGTCACAAACGGCGAGGCCTGGACTCGCGATGCCATTGCAGCATCGGTTGATGCCAAGGAATCCCGCGACCAGCTCATCCAACGCCTCCTGGGCATTCTGACCACCGACACGATGCCCAAGCAAAAAGAGAATGAAGAATGGGACATGTATCTGAATCAACTGCGTCACAGCATCTTCATCCCCTCCATTGGCCGCGACCATTTGGAGGAGCACAAGATGCCTGCGCACGAAATCGGCGACGTGGTCAAGAACAAGGCCGTCGACGCTACGAGTGGCTGCTATGGCACGCAAAAGAATATCATCATCTTGTGCGACCGGCAAGGAAAGGTGACTTATTTTGAACGGACGCTGTACGATGTTGATGCAAAGCCAATCGCCGAGGGCAAGGGAGATAGGTTGTATGAATACCAGGTGGAGGGTTGGTAGCAGGTGAATGCACTCATGCGTCCAAAACATTGTTGCCTACACTTTTGCTTTCACCCGTCACATCCGTTTGCATACTGATCTGTATAAGACCTGCACTCAACCTTGTTTACAGTTCAACTCGTCAACATCACAACTCACAACACATACTCACAACCATGTGCATCATCTTCTTCGAGTCACATGCAGAAAACACGCACGAGCACTACATTGACCAATACCACTGCGCACACGATACCTGCGACGGCCGTTTCGAGTCACATGCCAAATATCTGCTCCAAGGCTCTTGCGCTGATTGCCGTCTGTGTCTGAACCAGGCAGATGTAAATCCCGATATCTCTCCGGTTAGGTATTATCCCCCCGTTGAAGATGTTTGCGTTGAGAAGGTTGGTTTTGGCGAGATTGGGTTTGGTCGCATCGTGAGGTGTGAGGGGGCGGGTGTTTGTTTGCTGAGACAGGTGGATCATGTCGGAAAGAAAGACGATGGAGATGAGAGACAGTATGGCAGCGAGGATGAAAAAGGACAATATGACGACGACGACTGGCGCAGTTACAAAAACCTTTCCGATGTCGACAGCGTTACTTCACACTGGCGATTAGACGAGCAAGAGCAAGAGCACGAGATAACCGACATCGAGTCTGAGCATGCAGCAACTCAAGCTGATGAAACAATCAAAGCTTCTCGTCCATGTTCCACTTCCACTTCCACAGACAAAGACTCTCAACTACACGAGACACACCAACATGCAATTCCATTCATCGCTCCAGGCACAGCAAGACACCGCTGTCTCGTCAGCAAACAACTTGCCCAACTACCCCACCACATTACCCACGCGCGCGAGCATCCTCAACCCATACCCGTGCCTCTGCCGCCAGCACCTCCGCCAGCACCTCCAGGTCCACACAACGCTGCATTCCAGCAATATTACAGGGCCGAAGCCGTGGCTTGGCAGAATCACTACATTCCCATTCATCAACTACAAAGGAATCCAGGGGCTGAATCCATGTGGCAAGGAAATGCAGCCTATCTGCACAATCATGGCATGCCATGGCACCCGGTAGGTTGACCGCGCCCATGAGTGGAGAGTGCTAATGATCTAGTATTAACGTTGCCCGCTACAACCGATAAACATTTCTTTTCTCAGAGATTGCGGGCGAATGCGACTCATGGCTTGCATTGTAATTTGAATTTGCTTTTGCTTTTTGCTTGATCGGTCAAGATAGGCTGTCGTGATTCAGTGGAGTTGACGTTTCAGCACGGGCCATGTCTTGGCAGCGCTAGTCTATACGACAGGGGATAGTGACGTCTTGCAGATCATCCTCGGTACTTTATTATTATTATTATTATTCCATTAGAGTCTATCTGCAGTCAGTGACTATGTAAGACTTTGGCCAGAGGCCGTTCTAGGTACAATTTGTTTAAAGTGAGAGTGTTCTCTGTATAGTACTGCTATTGTGCTGCGGTTTAGTCGCTTCTAGCTGCGCTTAAAGCAGACTCCAGTTGCTGAAGAGCAGTTTAGTAAACAGGAAGAGATGTTAGACAGCAGGGCTGTCTTCCAGCGAGCTCTTTTAGGGCTAAGGAAAGTAACTTAAGAAAGTTTGTTAGTTATTATTGGTTTTAGGTAGTGTCTCTCTGTTCTCGCTTATTTTTAGTTGTCTTGTTCTTGGCCTAGATGCCAGCCTCTAGTCCCTACTCTAGTTTTAGCAATGAAAGCTAAAGTCGCCTCTCTGCCTTTGCTAGTGTGGAGGAGTAGTTGGATTGTTAGGTAGTTCTCGCGAAGAGTTGCTTTTAGCGCTTGCCTTTCTGTGTTGTAGTGCCAGCAGTATAGGAGAAGGTGATCTAGTGTCTGTACTCTCCCACACTCGCAGAGGTTTGAGTTTCTCTTTTTCACTCTCTCTAGATAGGCGTTAAAGTATCCGTGGCCTAGCTTGAGAGAGAAGAAGGCGCTAGAGATTTCCCTTGGTGTACCTCTTGGGATTTGGATTGCCTTAGGGTAAGCAAGGGAAATCTAGCAGAGG